TGTCAAGAACTTACTGTAGAAAATCTCAGTAACATTATTTTCTTTTCAGGTGTTTTTTTTTTTTTTTTTAAATTTATTGATTTATTTCAAAGAGGTTTTTGCTATAGGGTGAGTGTGCTCGCCAAATATACAGAAAGCAAGAAATCGCTCCCCAGGGGAGATGACCACGCCACAATCCCTTCTCCATTTTCCTCTCGGGACCTTGGGCACGCATACACATGTGCCCGGCGTGAGTTGAAGCCATCGAGTCTGGGATTCGAACTACAGTCGACTACATGAGAGTCCAGTGACATAGCTATTATGCCAACTGCTGGTTCCCAGATGAAAAAATGAATTTTATGAGTAGTACGTGGCATGAGACAGTTAGACTTCCTTACAGTAATATGGTTTATTTTTATGTAATAGTTACAGCTTAAAAAAATTTTAATATATACTTAAATATATAAGTAATTTAGAAAAGTTCTTGTTCTGTGGCAATTTGATTAGGCCATTGGCCAAAATCTTCCTAGTTGCATTTTAATAGCCCTGATATCTTTAAAATTTATCATAAATTTAAATGTGCAGACATAAAATTTATACCTGGGGACTTTAATGTTACACAACTCATGTTCAGGATGTCATTGAACATGTAATTGTTTCTACATTTCACATTATGCTGAACGTTGAGATTGTACTATAAATCTTTTGTGTCTTAATTTTTTCTGTTTGTTACTAACATTGATTTATGTTAGTTCATATTACTTTAATTTAAATGCAGTTTCTTTTTTATTATTTAATTAATTAATTTACATTTATTCACTGAACATTGTCAGAGCATACAAAATGTAATTTATATGTATGTATGTATATTTTCCCATTTCTCACCCTCTGCCATTTTCCATGTTCCTCCCACACTATTTCAGGTGTCCACAGTTGTTTTCCATTCCTTTTTCCCCCACATTTTATTGATTCACAAAATTTCTTAAGTAATTTAACTATTTTCAATAGCCAGCTCTACTGATATATACATATCTATGAATACATGTCTGACTTAAGGCATGAAGCTGAGTAGAATGAATATACTGTAAGGGAGCACCTAGCTGATACTATATAGTTTACTGTGGTCATTATGTATTTTTACTTTATTTTTCAATTTCAAGAAAAGCAGATTTAACTTTAATAAATCAAAGAAATGCTAAGGAAATATGCTTAAAACTTAAAGCCAGGAAACAAGTTGGGGTTCTGTTCAAATAGTAGGTACACGAAGTAGGTCAACGAACCTATCGGCAGCTCAAGACAAAACAAAAATCCTTAAAATCGGAAAACAAAGCCTAGAAAAAAAATCAACAATGTTTTAGTCAAAAGTCATAAAATTCTGTTTCACCAGTGCAGTCTCCTGTACTTTATCTTTTGTTGTGATGCAGCTTTCCCAATTAAATTCTGGGGTATACTATTCAGCTCCAGACTTGTCCCCATGATTAAGTTGGCCATTTTCTTAGGTTTTGAAGTCTTATTTCTGTGTAACTGTATTTAATTTTCCTGGTATAGCACTTCCTGCAGAATTTCTTGGGGTCTGGAGTTGGTAAATTCTTTCAGATTTTATTTATCGGAGAATGTTCCTGTCTTTTCTTCCCATATGAAGGATAATCTTGCCGGGTATAGTATCCTGGTTGTAATTGCTTTTCCCTTAACACTTTGAGTATATTTTCTCATTCTTTCCTCACTCGTCTTGTTTCCCATGAGAGATCCACTGTCAGCCTGATGAGATATCCGTTGTAGGTAACTTGCCGTTTCTCTCTTGCCAGTCTTACAGTATCTTGTCTTTGTTGGTGGTTTTGCTCAATCTGGCTATAATGTGTCTTGGAGAAGATCTTGTGTTGATTCTATTTGGGGTCCTTTGTATTTTTTGGGACTGGATCTTTGCTTCTCTAGGTTTGGAAAATTTTCTTCCAGGATTTCATGGAATAGATTGTCAATTCCTTTATGGGTCTCTTCCCCTTCTGAGATAGCAATTATCCGGATGTTTGGAATTTGATGGTATCTAGTATTTCTCGTATAGTCTTCTCATGTTTTTGGACGATTTTCTCAGTCTTTGTGATGGATTTTTCTAGGCCAGTAGTTCTTTTTTTTTTTATAGACCACAGATTAGTTTATTTTTAACACCCATCATGCCATGAATTCATAGGGAGTAGGTTCCGGTAGCTCAGGCTCCTTTCCATTGGTTCTCACAGAGTGTGTGCTTCTCTGGGTGGAGCAGGCTGGTGCTTTTGTTGAACGCAGGTCCTTGTCTCTTTGGCTTCTTTCTTTTTCTAGTCATTTTCCTTTACATGTTTTAGGAAGCTATCTCTGCTCTTAGAATGTTTAATATGCTCAATACGCGCACATTGATTCTCTTGGCGAGAATCTTGCCCTTAACTTGTTTGTTCAGGACAATGCAAACAGCATGCTGGGTAACATTGTAGACTCTTCCAGTTTTGCCATGGTAACATTTGTGGGACATTCTTTTTTGAACAGTCATTCCCTTAATGTCTACAATATCACCTTTCTTGT